TAAAAGTCTGTATCTGGTCGGAGCTCACCTGCTCACAGACCTTTAGCGTGCACTGGGCTGTAGCTTCTGTAAATATATTCTGCTGTGATTGCACTCTGCCTTTTAATTCTTGGACAATTTGCTGTTTTTCTCCCTGAAGCACACACATGTATTCTCTTTCCCATCTTAAATTACATCTTCTTCCCTCTGCATCAATTTCTCTCTTCGTGGACATTTTGGGATTATTTGTTGATCTTTTTCAACTCAATCACTTGTTGGGAAACCTCTTTACGGGCTGTTCCCTCTCCTGTCCACCTGTTGTGATAGTTTTAATGTCGGTACACAGACAACATGCTGTCTCAGAATTTAGACCATGATGATACTTTTATTTTGAAGTCTAACTTAAATTTTTTTTTCCAAAATTTAAAAAAAACAAAACTTTTTTTTTTTGCTGGTGGATTCGCGGGCCACATAAAATGACGTTGGCGGGCCTTGAGTTTGACACGTGTGCTGTAGAGGATGAAACAATTCGGTGAAATACGGTCTGAATGTGTAACTGTTTGAACCAGTTTTGAGCATCTTTTCACCGTCGGTGCTCACCGGGCTTCATCTTTTGTTCCTTTCACATAAAACCGACACCAGAGGTGAAACCTCCTCACACTCACCTCGTCGATCAGTTTGCGGGCGTTGGCGGTGGCGTATTCTCCGGCGAAGAAGACGAAGAGGCAGGACTCCTCGCTGTCCTTTCGCCGCCCGCCCTTCGTCAAAGGCACGATGCTGCGTTCGGGGTTGCCGGAGATCCGAACCGACTTAAATTCGGACTCCGGGTCCGGGCCGGGCACCGAATCCAGAACGGCCGAGGCCTCCGGCAGCAGGCTCCAGTTGTTCTCCCCGGACACCGGCGTGAAGTCGTGCACGTTGCTCCAGTTGTTGTTGAAGATGCTGAGCCCGGCGTCCTTGAAGTGGAAGGCCAGCTCGGGGTAGAAGTACTGGAAGCAGCCGAACTTCATGCCCGTGGAGGACTCGATGATGGGCTGCGTGGCGCAGCACAGGAACACCTCCATCTTTTTACAGTCCCGCGTGCGGAACTGCTGGCAGGCGACGACGCACTTGACGTCCTTACAGTCCCTGAAGAACACGCTGCCCTTGGTGGGCCCGAGGACCACGCGGCAGTTCACGCAGTCGTCGATGGTGACGGTGGCCGAGTGGTCCAACACGTAGATGTCGCAGTTCTCGCACTCCTGGATGACGAACTGCTGGCCGTTCAGCTTGCCGGGCAGGCGGCCCACCGTCACGTCTCTGAGCCCCGTCAGCATGTAGTCTTTAGGGTCCACCTGAGCAGAGACACCGGGGTTTATTCAACACAAGGACAGATTCAGAGGTTTACACCTCATCCAACAACAACACGGAGCTTTATCCTTCAGTCATCAGACCGTATGAAGCTTTCTAAACAGGTTTATTAACAGTGGTGCAATGTAACTAAGTACATTTACAGAACTACATTACACCATGTGTTTAAGTTTATTCAATGAAGTGAGCATATTTAGTTGAACTTGGGAAGAATATCTTTTCATCTCACGTACAATAAACAGGACACAGAGGACACGCCCCCTCAACATTTGTCCAATAAAGAACATGAGAGGACTTTTATTTTGACAAAATAAAAGTAGAACTCCTCTGCTGGAGTCGCTGGAGGGGATTCAATCTGATATAAAAACAAAGGAAAGATGAAGCAACCAGGCGTGCAAAGTAACTAAGTACATTTACTCAAGTGCTGCACTTAAGTACAAATTTGAGGTTTGTGTACTTCACTGAGTACTTCCTACTTCTCCTCCACTACGTCCCGGAGGTAAATATTGTACTCTTATAGAATATGATGCATTGATATAGATTAAACCAGCCAACAGGATATAAAGGAGTAAACATGCAGCAGGAACATTTTACTGATCAATAAATACTTTTACTTCAGTGAGGTTCTGCAGGACTTTCACTAGTGTGGTTGTAGTACTTTTACTCCATCTCAGAGTCTAATTTGATGTCATGTTCCACTAATGTTCAAACATTTTCCCTCCATGAGATGTGATCATGTGACCATTGAGCTATTTTCAGACGTGTTTTATGTGGTCGTCCACAGTTTGACTCGTTACATCGAGTCAACGCGGACGTTTAACCAGCCTGAAGAAGGAGAAGCAGAAGCAGCAGCAGCCATGTTGTGGTCAGCTGTGGACTGTTGTAATCCCATAATGAGATAACAGAGTGAGAGCTGAGAGCGATGTCATCATGCAGAACAACCAGCGCTGCATTAATACAGGAAACATGGAATGTGATTATTTAGAGACGCCACAGATATGGAACAAAAGATTCATATATATATAC